AATTGTGTCAGCCTTGTATCAGGTAATACCCAGATCATCTAATGGAAGCTGAAAAGTTTGTTTTCAGTCAAACAGACAGTTTGTGCTTGGGGACTATTAGTGTGATTCCTTTTTTTTTGCTACCGTTTTTTTTGCTACCAAGTTCCAGTTATATAATTGAGTCTGTTTCCTTATCTCACTGTTATAATCTTGAAATGTATTTTTGTTCTCATAACGCAATTTGAAGACAGATTTTAGTAAATGTAACATTCTGGCATGGAAAGAAACTTGCAGCAATTATTAGTAGTTTTTTAGCAGCACTGTGCTCTCTGCAAACCTAAGGTTACTGGGGGAATGTTGAGAGTTCTTGGGGGCATGAAATAGCATTAACTGTTTGTTTTGGTTTGGCCTGGATAAATGCCAGGTGCCCACCAAAACTGCTCTATCAATCCCCCTCCTCAGCAGGACAGGGGAGAGGAAATATGATGAAAGGCTTGAGGGTCGAGGTAAGGACAGGGAGATCACAGATTGAACATGGGGTGAAAAGGGAATTTAATTCATCACCAATGAAATCAGAGCAGGACAGTGAGAAATAAAACACCTTCTCCCCACTCCTCCCTGCTTCCTGGGCTCAACTTCAATCCCGTTTCTCTACCTCCTCCCCTCCGCAAGCAGCGCAAGGGGACTGGGAATGAGGGTTACGGTCAGTTCATCACACGTTCTCTCTGCCACTCCTTGTCCCCCAGGGGGAAGACTGTCCCTCTCGTGGGAGATAACTCTCAGCAAACTTCTCCAATGTGAGTCCTTCCCACAGGCTGCAGCTCTTCATAAACTGTCCCAGCGTGGGTCATTCCCACGGGGTGCAGTCCTTCAGGAACCGGCTGCTCCAGCGTGGGTCCCCATGGGGTCACAAGTCCTGCCAGCAAACCTGGTCCAGTGTGGGCTTCTTTCTCCAGGGGTCCACAGGTCCTGACAGGAGCCTGCTCCAGCACGGGCTCCCCATGGGGTCACAGCTTCCTTCAGGCATCTACCTGCTCTGGCGTGGGGGTCCCTTCCATAGGCTACAGGTGGATAGCTGCTCCACCATGGACTTCCATGGACTGCAGGGGGACAACCTGCCTCACCATCGTCTTTCATCATGAGCTGCAAGGGAAGGCTCTCTGCTCCGGCATCTTGAGCACCTCCTCCCCCCTCCTTCACTGAGCTTGGTGTCTGCAGAGTTGTTTCTCTCACGTTGTCTCACTCTTCTCTCTTCACTACCATTTTCCCGCAGTTTTTTTTCCCCCTTCCTAAATATGTTATCGCAGAGGTGCTGCCACCATCACTGATTGGCTTGGCCTTGGGCAGTGGTCCATCTTGGAGCTGACTGGCACTGGCTTTATCGGACATGGGGGAAGCTTCTCGCAGCTTCTCGCAGAAGCCGCACCTATAGCCCCCCTGCTACCAAAGCCTTGCCACGCAAACCCAGGACACTGTTTTGAACTGTCAGAAAAGTAAATTTAATTAATATATACTGCATTTCACTTTTAAACATTTTAACTGAGAGATGCAGCTAGAAACACTGATCTTATAAGTTGGTTTTGAAAAGCCTCAAGGGGAGAAAAAAAAACCAACCCAAAACTCTTTTCTTCAAAAGTAGTTGAAACTTGTAAAACAGCTTTCAAAGGCTTAGTGTTCAAGTCATGGCCAGAACTGCAGATTAGTACCAAGTATCATCTTTTTTTAAAAAGTTTGGAACCTATATAGAGGCTTTTGTTCCATCAAAATATGTAGGAGAGTGTTGCCAAAAAGTAAAAGGCAAGCTGTACTGCACCTGCATAGTCTGGCTTTTTACAGCTGTTCTATTTTTTAAATACTTCTTTTCTGAAAATAGTTATCATGGTTTCAACACTCTTTAGACACTCCAGAATCGTGTTTGACCAGTCTGATAGCCTTCTGTGATTACGTGACCAGCTGGGTAGATGAGGGGAGAGCGGTAGATCTTGTGTACCTAGACTTCAGCAAAGCTTTTGACACTGTCTCCCATAACATCCTCCTAGGGAAGCTCAGGAAGTGTGGGCTGGATGAGTGAACAGTGAGGTGGATTGAGAACTGGCTGAATGTTAGAGCTCAGAGAGTTGTGATCAGCAGTGCAGAGTCTAGTTGAAGGCCTGTAACTAGTGGTGTTCCCTAGGGCTCAGTACTGGGCCAAGTCTTGTTCAGCTTATTCATCAGTGTCCTGGATGAAGGGGCAGAGCATACCCTCAGCAAGTGTGCTGAT